TGGCAAGGTATAGATTTATAAAAATGGGTTAATTTAAGATAAAAGAACAGTTAGCAAGAAGCCTGCCACGGCCATACAGTTTATAAGTGATACAAGCGTCTGAGTGATTATTTTATAAATGGATTGTGGGACTGCGGGGCTTGGGGAACCTGGAGAGAAGCCCTCCAGCAACAAATGAGGAGGGCTGGAGCAAACCCCGAGAGTTCCAGGAGGTAGGGAGAGACTCTGTCTTCAGTGGTGTAGCACTGGGTAGAGTATTTATGATCCTATGAACATACCATCAGCTGTTACAGTCCTAATGGAACTCACTGTGTCACCACAGGGGGAGGAGCTGGAGAGGCTCGGCAGTTCAGAGCATGGCTGCTCTTACAGAGGACCTGGGTTTGATTCCCAGCACCCACACGATGGCTCACAACCACCTGTAACTCCAGTTCTCAAGGATCTGATGCCTTCTTTTGGCCTCTATGGGCACCAGCACATAAGTAGTGTGTAGAGATACATGCAGATAAAATACTTATACACATAAAATAAAATAAAATAAAATAAAATAAAATAAAATAAAATAAAATAAATATCTTAAAACTTGTTTAAAAAAAGAAATGGAAGTAGACAGGTATTAGTTTGAAAGAAGGTGATCAGTGATCATACATATGTGCATATATGTATGTGTTTATGTATATATAAGATGTGTTTACGTATTTGTAAATATGTACACACACATTCACATACATGTGCATATACACATAACATATATACATATGCACATCAATACACACACTCACATACGAATGAAGTAGGGATCTAACCTAGTGTGCCTGGCAAGTGCGCTCGCTACCCCTGAGCTGCTAATATCAACCCAGCAACAACGCTTGTATTCAGAAAAAAATTCCATCACAGAGGAAAAAAAAAAAAAACCACCAGAAAACGGAAGTCTTTTATTTTCTCACCTAAATTTAATGTTTAAAATAAACAATGATAAATAATGAGATCACAGACCATGACAATGCTCTGGAATATTCCAGAGAGATTTGCCGTCTGTCTTGCTCTCCTGCTGTGTGCTCACCTTCCCCTTGCACCTGCCTGAGTGATGAAATATGGCATGTAGATTTTATTTGGTGACTGATTTTACAGCCCAGCTCATCAGTGGATATTTCCACCCAAATTCATAGACCCAGAATCTTCTTACTCTCACAAATCCACTCAGAGTGAGTTTATGTCAAATTCTATATATCACTTTAAAAAACCTAAAATTAAACCCCCAAATAAAATTAATATCGTTCATTTCAAATTTATTAAAAGCGATTTTCCAAGTTAATACAAACTACCACACCCATGTTACTTCATTTGGAAACAAATCTGTCATCAGTGAAAGAGTGGGAAGAGATGTACATTTACCTGCTTAATCATACCTGAATAAGGACTCTCTCGACAACCAAATTTCATTCTGCTTCACAGTTTTCCAGGAAAAAAGCAGTAGCAACAACACAGTAGATGCCATCAGGGAGGTGGCTCCACACCGGCTCAGCCCAGTGCAGAGCTTGTTCAGTCCATGCACGAAGAGAATGCAGTAGCCCATGCTGGAACACAGCAGAAGAGCAGGGTCACTGTGGGTAAGAGGTCACTGTAGGTCGGTGAGTCACTGTCTGGGGTGGCTGTGGGTAGAAGGTCACTGTGGTGGTATTGTGTTCCTCAAAATATTGTGCATGCTAATAAACTTATTTGGGGTCAGAGAACAGAACAGCCACAATATTAAACATAGAGGATAGGCAGTGGTACCACACGCCTTTAATCCTAGCATTCCAGAGGTAGAAATCCATGTGTTCAAGGATACAGCCAAGTATGGTGACTCACGCCTTTAATCCCAGAAAGCAAACCTTTAATCCCAGGAAGTGATGGAAGAAAGCAGAAAGGTATATAAGGCATGAAGACCAGAAACTAGAAGCATTTGGCTGGTTAAGCTTTCAGGCTTTTGAGCAGCAGTTCAGCTGAGAGCCATTCAGATGAGGATTCAAAGGCTTCCAGTCTGAGAAAACAGGATCAGCTGAGGAGCTGGCAAGGTGAGGTGGCTGTGGCTTGTTCTGTTTCTCTGATCATTCAGCATTCACCCCAATAACTAGCTCTGGGTTTGTTTTTATTAATAAGAACTTTTAAGATTCCTGCTACAGGTCACTGTGGTGGTTTGAATAAGAATGGCCCCCATAGGCTCATGTATTTGAATGTTTTGTCATCAGAGTGGCACTATCTGAAAGGATTAGAAGGATTAGGAGGTTGGAGAAAGTGTGCCACTGGGGGTGGGGGTGGTGGTGAGGTTTCAAAAGCCCATGCCCAGCCTAGTCTCTCTCTCTGCAAACATTTCAGGGTGTAGCTCTTGGCTACTGCTTTAGCATCTGCCTCCAAGCCACCATGCTCCCCACCCTGATGGTAATGGACAAAACCTCTGAAACTGTAAGCAAGCTCCCAATTAAGTGCTTTGTTTCATAAGAGTTTTCTTGGTCATGGTGTCACTTTACAGCAGCAGAACAATGACTAAGACCGTCACTGTGGGTTGGGGCTCATTATGGATGGGTAGTTCCCCAAGCATGCTCTTAGGACAAGCAGGCCTGTCCTGTGCTAGAGAAACACGTATGAATTCCCCTGTCACAGACAAGTTGTCTAAGGCACTGGCTCTCACATCTCTCAATGATGTGAAGTCACAGGCTCAAAGCCTCAGGCATGGAAGTCCTACATGGGATCTGAGGGGATTCTCTGGCACAGGCTTCCTCATGCCTCCACCCCAAGATGTGGCAAGGTGTGTCTGAATTCAGAGCCTGGGCCACTGCAGGTCCTACTCCAGCAGCCTAGAGGATTGTCTGGGAGGGATAGCAGTCATCAAGAACCAGAGATGTGCCACCTACAAGGCCTCCCAGTGGACCAGCTAAGATCCCTCCATTTTCCAACTCCACCCACAGGCTGCCTCCTGAGCTGGACTAGCAAGGTTTTCTCACTGGCTCTGCCCCAGCTTTCCCAAGTTTTGGCACAGCATCACATCTCTGAAAATACCTTTTGCCACTCACACACTGTCTTTCCATGGATGCTGGGGATCAAGCTCACTTGAGGGCCAACCCTCATTCATTATAATTTACTGAATACTAGGTATATAAGACTATTACAGACACCAAGAACTTATCAGTGAAAAACAAGGCTGTAATCATAATCCTAGAACACGGGAAAGAACAGTAAATGAATTAAGTAGATTAAATACAGAGCATGTGTGTTATAATATGCTGCATGAAGAAATCATGCAATGGAAAGATGGGTATTTCAACATGGATGGTCAAATAAGAACCTGCAGACATATGAGTGAAGACCTGAAATGCACGAGAACATGCCATGCAGACATTTGCATTCCCAAGCTTACTCTCTTCCCACTCTCCTCTACACAAAGATTGCTAAGGGGTAGGCTATCTTGTGTGGCCAGCACTGTCTATACTTGACTCGGCACCGTGGCTTCTCACAAAGCTACAGGAGCCATAGGCTCTATCTAGTGAACAAAGGGCCCAGGAACTCAGACCCAGCACCTTGCCCCACATGCTGCCCTGCTGTAGGGTTTTTGATGTGACAGGCTGGATCCTGTCCCACCCAACATGTCACCTATGTTCATCTTAGCTCTGTATTCATGAGACCTTCCTAGCTGTAGGAACCAGAGCTGCCTGTGACAGAACAGCAGGAAGGAAGAGGGTGGGATCCCAGGAGCTGCTGGCAGTGCACAGCAGTGTCAGCAGACAGGAATAATGAAGACAATGTCTGAAACCATTACTGTTTGTATATCCAGGTGTTCACAGGTACTTCCTCTGTGCCAGGCACTGTGCTAAGAGCGTCATCTGAGCGCTCAATAGCATTTGCAGGGCAAGGATAACACTCTGCATACGTCTTCTAACTTGAACTTCAAATCCTGTGTCATCCATGTCCTAAGCAAACAAACTAAAAACTCAGATGAGTTCAAGAACCCACCGACAGCCCCAAAGCTAGCACTCAACAAGCCAGATATGCAGACTCTGATAGAAAGCTAAAATTGAGAGGCTTGCAAACTCCTTCTCTAAAAGGCTAGGCAGTAAATAGTGCCAATGTTTTCTATATTGAGGCTCACAAAACAAGTGCCCTGCATTTACCTGCTAGACTGGAGCAGCAGCCTCAAGGCCTCCCTGACCTTCCCCATCCTGGCCTCCCTTCTTCATGTCTCTCAATCCTATTTTCACAGAACCACATGGAAGGGCTTTCTTTGAGTTCCTGTATCTACCTAAAAACTGGATCAGCCAAGGGGAAATACAATTGCCTGTAAGCTCCTTAGGGAAATAACATCAACTGAGAAAGATTAAACTCTTACCATAGAAGAAGAGACTAAAAACCAGTCACCTCACTCAGAGCACTGTCAGCCCACTGTCCACACCCAGAGCACTGTGTCACTGTCCACACCCAGAGCACGGTCAGCTCATGGTCTCTACCTAGAGGCCACCGCCTGTACCCACAGCACCATGTCAGTGTCCACACTCAGAGCACGGTATCAGCCCACCGTCTACTCTTTGGGCCTCTCATCTCCTTTCTAGACCCACCTCTGTGCCCCACTGGCCTCTTTCCTAAGAGGAGTGTACAGAGGCTTTAGCCTTCTCTGAGCTTCTGAGTTAATGTGCTGTCTGTGAACATTAATGCATCTGTTTGCCTTTACTCCTGTTAATCTATTTATTGTCAAATCCTTTTATCAGACATAAATATCCAGACCATTGGAGAGCAGAGGGTAAGTTCCTTCACCTCTATGTAGGCCACAATGCCTCTGTCACTCTCCTTCACTCTGTGTGAGTGCAAGCACACACCATGGAAATGCATGAGCACGTCTGTGCTCCAACAAAATTTATTTGTAAACAGTAGAGGACTAGACTTGACTCATGGGTCACACAATTTGCTGGCCCCTGCTCTGTGAGAATGAAGGAGAACCTCTCCTTACCATTTGGCATCGATTTTTGTATCAAATAACATGATAAATTGTTTTTTCCAAAGTCCTTGAATTGACACACGGCTTCAGAAATGTTAAGCCATAGAAAGCACCCTCTGCTAGGTTTGCAGTTTCTTGGGAACCACCAAGTTCTTTCAGATACAAACACTACAGCAAGTGGCACCCTCCTCCGTTCTGAAACTTCATCCTTCAACATCTGTTTTAGTGCAGTTCCCAGTAGCAAGCAAAAGAAACATGTTCTTTCTATCGCCAGGGGCAGGATGAGGCCTCACAGAGAAAGTGGAAAATCAAGCAAATGAGAAACTACATGCTTTTTTCTCCAGGGAGATGGAACCTGAGACTACCTTGCTCTGGTTACTCTAGTTTAGGAGCCTCTGGGCTGATGACCAGAGATTTCCACACAGAACACACAGGAGCCCTTACATGCCTAGCTCCAGACAGTGTCTGAACCTGCAGAGCCATAAGCAAACCTACAGAGCCATCAGTGAATAAATAGCTCTAGTCATCACTAGGATTCATTTCCTCCCTCTGTCCCTTCCCTCCTTTTGTCTTGAGACAGAAAGAGAGAGAGAGAGAGAGAGAGAGAGAGAGAGAGAGAGAGAGAGAGAGAGAGAGAGAGAAAGAGAGAGAGAGAGAACAACTTGTGGGGGTAGGTTCTTTCTTTCTACCACGTGACTTCCAGGAATCAAAATCAAGTCATCAGACTTGGGGGTGTTATCAGACTTAGGGTCACAGTTGGGTCTGACCACCCATCTTCAACAAGCCAATTAAAAGAGCTAAGTAAGTGAAAAGCAGAAGAAAGAGATTTAATTAATGTGGCAATACTAGGAAGAAAGACTGGGGGGGGGGGTAGCTAGGATCACAGTCCCGTACCAATGAGCACAACTGAAAGTATACCTAATATGTGAACAAGCTCCAGCAATCCACTGAGATGATCTAAAAATAAAACCAACATTACGAGCCGGACATAACCCTTTACTTTGATCACTTTTAAGCACTCTCTCTAAAGGATCTGAAGGAATGTGTCCTTTGACTTCATTTTGCTCTGCTGAGGCTTCTTCTCACAAGTTATCTCACAGTAAGTTTTTAATTCCAGTTTTCTGGGTGTTATCCCCAGATGGTTCAGAAGTAAAGCCTGGGACACTCAGCTGAGAGCTGGTGGCGGTTGTGCCCCCAGCCAATGGCGACTATTCAGAAGCTGCAGGCTGCTGTAAGCCAATACTTAGAGCACCCTCCACTTCTGCCTTGTTTCTTCTCCATCTCAAAGACTTGATGGGAAATTCTCCAGAGGACTGAATGTATTTGGAGGTGAGAGTTTGTTTGGTCTAAGAAAAACATCCCAGTGGCACTGCTGATCAGCTCCCCAGTCCCCAATGAGGTGCTATGCTCCTGGGCTGGGCTGGACAGTCTCTTCATGTGTGAGTCTCTATGAAAGACTGCTGCATCACTTTCCAGTGTGTATTCAGGACAACCAGGGCAACTGTCATCCGTTCCCACTTTGATAACGGACATAGTTTTCTCTTGGGCTTTTTGCAATACAGTGCTTCCTTTTTCTTTCATAGTTCACCTAACAGCACTAAGATTTATGAGGCCTTTCCTGGTAAATAAAGCCAGTCTCTGAAGTTGGACAAAATCCTTGGTCTGTATCTCAACCCTGACAGTTGTTGATTTGGGGCCAATTATTTAAATTCACAAGCTCTTAATTTCTTTCCTTTCTAAAAGGACATTATTTTAGGCTGTACTATGCCCACTGTACATTAAATAATAAATAATAACATTAAGATTCTTGTGCTGTAATAATATTAGGAGTAGGTAGTTGGTTTCTGCTGAACAGAGGGGGTAGGCAGGAAATCTATAACATTTGTATACATTCCAGGTCAAAACAGTTATCTCTGCACCAGTGTCCTAAGATCTCAGGCCATTAGCAAGTAGAGGGAGTGCAGGAGTCCTAGGTGCAGACTGTCTGGAGCTTCAGGATGAAGGAAAGGGAACTCTTGAGAGACCCAAGAATCAGAAACAGTCATGAGAATTCAGCAGTTCTGTGGTCAGAGATGAGTCCTTTAACCCCTTGGAGGCTTAACTGTGTGTATTACAAGATTAATACTGCTTGCAAACTGGTTTCAAACGGTTGCATGAAAGAGTGTATGTGAGCATGGTTCATGAACTGAGTAAAATGGGAGAAGCCATGTTGCCATGCAGAGTGTTTTCGTGTTCATGAGTGCTGTATTACTCTTGGAACATGGATAAAGCATGTGATTAGTGCTATAAATAACCCAGTTTATCAAAGTCCTGCTTGAACAAGACATTTAACAAACACTCATAAAAAACATTCTTGAAACTACAAGCTCACTTGTACAGTAGTATTTGCTTCAAGTACTATGTTTATCTATGATGTTTTATAGTGCAAATGTCATACAATGTAAGATAGACAGGTAATATGTGGATACATGTGGTCATGTACTTATTGGTATTTACATACCTCAGAAACAAACACATAAGCAATTCTTCCCTCACACCCATTTTGATTTGGATATAACCATTCCCACAAGTGCACATCTGAATACTTTCTAAGAGTGTGGTGTGATCTTTTTCTTCCACTCAGACTCAGACCACTAAACTTCTGCCTTCTCTGACTCCCATGGAGTCTGTCCCCCTTTCTGCTCATACAGGCTCTCCTGCAGCCAGTGGGGGTGTACTTTCTGCCCCCAGAGTGAAAAGATCTCAACTGGCATGAGGGTGAATACTCAACTGTTTTCTCTAAATTACCTAGAGCTTTCATCAACTATTTTTGCTTCATCAATTCTACAGAGTTTTAGTTGTTTTTGTTTTTTCCCCTTCCAGTGGGTCTTTTTTATATAAAATGCAAGAAAGATAGCCATAAAATTATATGCTTCTCTTGGAGTCAGGATAAAAGAGAAAACTTTCATTGAAAGAATGATTTTAGCCTCAGACTCCCTTGCCTGCACAAATATGACATACACGAAAGTGACATTTATCAGAGCAAGAAAATGTTATTCTGTGTGTTTTGATGGTAAAACTTTGACCCCAGAAGCTAAGCAAATAGCCAAGTTCTCTCTCTTTTATCCAAAGATTTCTGGCAGCAAATAAGATAAGGGCCTTTTCTGGGTTAGGCTGGAAGGAGAACAGAAGGCAGAAGGCTTGAGTGGTGTATGCATTGTTAATCACAAAGGAAGAAGATAAAAGGGCACACTGTGAGTCAGGCTCAATCTGGCTTTTTCTAGTAACATAGCCAGATCAGTCCCTCCAGGCTGCTGGACCCAGGCAGGTTTCTAGGAGGCTGGTTGGATTTCTCTGTGATGTACACTGGGTAGGAAGCTCACTTTCTCCAGCAACACTGACGGCTAAGTTTCCTTCCTTCCTTCTTCCTTCTCTGCCTTCTCCTTTCTTTTTCCTTCCCTTTCTCCTTCTCTCCCTTCTTGCAGTTACAGAGTTTCCTTTTGTGGGTCCTTAGTCCATAGGACTTGGAAGGAAACTTGAGATCAATTTTATTGGAGTTTGGAAGAAAACAAGGGGCTAAACAACCTTAAATTTCAGCAGTTGCCAGAAGGAGGGAAATAGAAAAGAGAGAGAAAACCATGTCATTTGAAAGCAGTCATATGGTAAAGGATGTGGGAGGCTTCAGACAAAGTGAGAAAGCCCAAAGTGCCATCACTATAGTTATGAGACTTAATATTGAGTATGTGTTGGATCCATTCTTCTATGGGTGCTAACCTGACGTTTAAGGGTGCAATTATCTTTTTCATTCTAAATTAGCATTTTCAAAAGCCAAAGATTCAACTGGTGAAAGTGTGTGCAGGCCTTGGGAAAAGGGATAGAAAAAGGGAAAAGGGGAAGTTATACTTTTCTGAGTAACTCAGAACGAGAGGTAAGTTTAGCAGAGCTATATGTCAGGGAAAGATTAATACTTTATCTCATTAAAGGGATAATTATTCCTTCCATCTCCTCACCATGGCTTTAGGGGTCACATTATTTCTGAGGGGTGGTATCTTGATGAGGTGATTGACAGGCCCAGCTACATTAACTTTTTTTTTTTAATGTTGTATTTGCTCTAAAAGGAGGACACAATAATGTATAATGTAATCTTTGGAGCAGATTAGAATGTTATGTCTCCTTGAGGGCCAGAGGTATATTCCATTCTTTTAACCAGGAGTTAATGGTTTTCTCTTCCTGGGCCTCAATAAACCCCTGGAATCCACCTACAAAGACTCTTAAGATTGTAACAGGTCTTCAAGAGCTGAAACCCTCTCTGGGTATGATGCTACATGCCTTATCCACAGTACTTGGGAAAGTAGAACCAGGCAGATTTTAATGAGTTCAAGGCCAGCCTGGTCTACATGCTAAGTTCTAGGCCAGCCAGTGCTACATAGTGAGACACTGTCTCAACAACAACAACAACAAAAAAGGAGTTGAGACCCTAAGATCATTCAGGAGATGTGTTGAAACTGGAAACTAGATATAACTTAGCTCCATTGAGAAAACCCAAAGCTGTTCATGAGAAAGAATTCAAGTATCTAGACCCTCATACCTCCAGTGCTCGTTTAGGAGAAGAAAGATAGCTAGAAGCCAGAGTCCCCTCATGCCAGTCCTCGCCTCTGGCCAGGAACATGAAAGGTGCTGCTGCGTTCTGGGTCCCTGCACTAAAGCTGCCAGATCTGTCTCCACCTCACGTCCTCATCAGCTCAACTCACGTACGGTTATGAAGACTAAGAACTCAAGGGAGGGCTGGAGTCACCCGGCCTTCTATCAGCCTCAGGAACATGGCTCAAGGGCAGGAAGTCAAGAAACCTCTGATCAAGAGGCTTTGGCATCTGCTGAGACCATCCCTCTGCAGGGCCAGCAGCCATGCTGGGCACAGTGGTGGCATGGGCAGGATCCAGCAGTCGCTGGCAGGAAGGAGCGCTGCAAGGTGCCCAGGCAGGGCCTCCGAGAGCGAAGGATGGCCGTCTTTGGGACAAAGGCTGGGTACTGACACTGGTGTAAGACTCTTGTCTGAGTCTGACATAAGCAAACCCAGGCTGACTCCCTGAGGCAGGCACTTGCTCTGGGAAATACTGACATTTTCTTTATAGCGCAGTTTTATTTTCACCTGAATCAGATGACTCCTAAAGTAACGAACTCTGAAGCCCCATTCAGGACACAACCGCACAGGGCAGAGTTTGTTTTGTCTTGTGTAGCACTGGCTGCCCTGGGACTGATGCTAGTCAAGGATGACCACAAACTCCTGATTCTCCTGCTCACTTCCCAAGTGCTGGGATTGTAGATGAGTATCACCAATTTCTCCCTCTGATGTAAAAAAGCTTCGTACCTTGCTCAAGGTAGCATAATTAGCAAATGTCAGAATAAGACTGTCCCCTGACTCAGTGACATTTCCAGGAAAGTGGCCCTGGGACAATGACATCAAATAAGATGGCACATGACAAGCTACAACAAAGGGCAGATGTGCAAAACTAGGCAACCTGGAAGCTACAGCTAAATACTTTTTTTGTCATTTTTGAACCATTTTCTCCAAAGATAATTTTTTAAAGTTTAATTCCTACTTTCTAAATTAAAAGGGGGGATGGATAAAAATGAACTGAATATAGTAATAATGGGTAAATCAACAAGTATTTAGAAATATCACAAGTATAATTATAAAACATATTTGGACAATGGCAGTTTGGTAAGCAGCTTCTGCTTATATCCCTAATACTGGAAATTATAATTCCTGTCTCACTCTGAAGCTTGTACCTCTGAGCCTGTGAGTCAGGGCACACGAGCAAGCCTGGTCCCTGGAGATGACAGCAGGGCTCAGAAGGATCCACTGCCTCACAGAGGACTGTCTCTCTGGAGCTCTCAGGGTTCCTGTGATAGATGGAGGTAATTACCTAGGCATGTACAGGACTCTCTCGGCCACCACAAAGCCCACCCTGAAGAAGAGGTTGCTGGCTGGGATGAACGGGAACACGAGGAACAGCAAGCCGGCCAACACTTCCTTGTGCTCCAGCCTCTGAAACACACAACAGGGAAAGGACATGTGGATCTCGGTTCAACTCTGCCTCAGACAGCATGTCACCAGAACCCTCAGGTTCTCAGTGATAACTGACATCCTAGAGCTGAACTGACCACAGGAAGACCCAGTTAGAGGTGCTGGCTCGTCACACACCCATCTGTGCCCAATACACTCCTGTCACCAGACACATCTGACATGGGCACAGTTGGTGGTGACCACTGCCCACCACTCTGGGAAGCCTGAGAACTTTGCTGCTCAGTCTGTCCCCACCCCTCTCCCATGGCCTCGGGACTGTACAGAGGGCAAAGCAGCTGGGCAGAGCCAGGCACTGAGATACAGTGGTACCCTCTCTTAAAGAAGAAGCCAAAAGGGTCACTAGCAGGAGCCAAGTTTTGCATAAAAGAGATGCTGTTCTGATGGCAAAATTGAGGGTGCCCTTGAGGGTCAGCTGAATTGCAGGTTTCCTGGTACCTCTCAAACTAAGGTAAAGCAGACTTTTATTTATTATTTATTTATTTAATTTATTTAGAGACAAGATCTCTCTGTAGCCCTGGCTGGCCTTGACATACAATAATCCTTCTCCCAAAGCCTCTCCATTACTGAGATCATAGGCATGGCTACCAGGACTGGCTGCAAAACTTTTTAAATTAAAAACCACTATGAGCTGGGTGGTGGTGGCGCACACTTTTAATCCCAGCACTCAGGAGGCAGAGGCAGGTGGATGTCTGTGAGTTTGAGGCCAGCCTGGTCTATAGAGTGAGTTCTAGGACAGCCAGGGATACACAGGGAAACCCTGTCTCAAAAAAAAAAAAAAGAATAGAAAATTAGAAGGAGGAGGAGGAGGAGGAGGAGGAGGAGGAGGAGAAGAAGAAGAAGAAGAAGACAACTCACTAAATTGGTAAAGGACATTTTCTTAGTATTTGTAAAGATATTTCTTAGTCTTTGTGTAACTAAAATTAGTGAAAATTAACTTGTAATGGTTCTATTAACTAAAATCTCTCTCCACAGAGTTCCGGGAACCCCGCAGGAGAAAGAGGAGGCAGAAAGAGTGTAAGTTCCAGAGAGGATGGAGGACACCAGGAAAACAAGGCCCTCTTAATCAACATGAGCAAAGCTCCTATGAACTCACAGAGACTGAGGCAGCAAGCACAGGGCCTGCAAGGTCTGCACCGGGCGCTCTGGCTTCTATTACGGCTTCTGGGTTAGTGTTTCTATAGGATTCCTGAGTGTGTGAACAAGTGGGTCTCTTTTCTTGTGCCCTCTCTTGGGCTCTTTTCCTTATGTTGGTTTGTCTTGTGTGACTTTAATGTGATAGTTTTGTTTTTATCTTACTATATTTTATTTTGTATATTTTTAAAAAATGAATGAACAAAGGTAAACCTAGCACTTGGGTGGAGGTTAACAACAGCACTGTTGTCTATACCTGCTGGGAAAGAGATCAACTTTCTCCAGGGGAGTGGCACAACTGAAGCTGGGCAGTAGGAAGGAGGAGAAGATCTGGACAAACTTGGGGGAGGGGAGAATATGATTAAAATACACATAAATTTAATAATAGTTTTAAATAATAAAAATAATTTTAAAGAAGAAAAGTGGCTTTTTTATTTACATGTTGTAATAGACAATGTAGATGGAACTGTACTTCCGTATGTTTATATGCAACAGATGTGCTTGAAGAGTTTTAGTTAAAATACACTTGAGGATATGGAATGTTGTTAGTTTAGTGGTAGACCCTGTAATCCCAGTATTCATAAGGCAGAGGTAGGAGGACTGCTGCCAGTCCCCGGCTAGCCTGTGCTGCAGAGGGAGACTGTTTCAGAAACAAACAAAAGCTTAAGAGTAGAACTTGGTCTACAGGCAGCTAATGGTTGCTAGGGGAGGAAGAGGCATTTCCATTGCTGGTATGGCCACAGGTAAGCAGCCTCTACTCCTGTAAATAAACACTCACCCAGGATCTTATAAGGAACCTGAATGAGATAATTTTTTTTTAAAAGCATGAAAACAGAAGTGTACAAGGTAGGAAGATCAGTAGAGGGAACCGGGAAAGGATAATGGAGGGCAAAGTGCTAAAAATACATTATATAATGTATGAAAATGCCATAATGAAACCCATTATTATGTATAATTAACACATGCTAATAAAAAACAATGAAGGAGGGCTGGAGAGATGGCTCAGCCGTTAAAGGCTAGGCTCACAACCAAAAATATAAAAAAACAAAGAAGGAAACCAAGTAGAACTTTCCATGTCACATACTGCATCTTTAATGATTCCCATAAATATTTAAAGTACTATATTACTTTTAATAACTAGAAAAGAATAAGATAATATCAAAAAACATAAATAAAATTCCCTACCAGGAACTACAAATACTCTAAATATGCAAAGTAAAAGATTTGTCACCAGGATTTTATTAAAATCTTTGTCTTATTAACTACCACGTGCAGAGTAATGAAATCTCTTGGAGAGATTCCCTACAATTTGAATAGTTTCTCTCAAATGATTTCTTTCTGTTAGTAATGACCTACAGGAACCAAACTCCTTAGAAGAAAGGGGATAAATGTCATTTTAGTGGCTTCCAAATCAAGTAGGCACAGAGGAATGTTATGTGTATATGCATCATGCACATATACATACATATGTATATATTTCTAGGATCTCCCCAGACTGCCAAATAAAAATGTGAAAAAGAAGAAAACGAGGAGCCAGTTGACTGTGTTAAAAAGCTACAAGCTGTCTGTTTTAGTTTTCTTTCTGTTGCTGTGATTAAACACTCTGACCAAAAGCAACCTAGAGGAAGAAAGGGTTTATTGGATTTACATGTCCAAGTCACAGTCCATCACTGGACGAAGTCAGGGCAGGAATTTGAAGGCAGGCCTGATTGCTAGTCTACATACCATTACCTCTATCCAAGGAACTTGGTTCACAACCAAAGAAGTAAGATAGGAACCAGAGTGTGGCTTGGTGGTCAGAAGGTAGGCTTATGCTCAGGTAGCTTTCTTATGCAGTTTAGGACCACATGCTTAGGGAATGGTGTCACCTACAGTGAGTTGGGTCTCCCTACATCAATTAATAATCAAGACAACCCCTCACAGACATGCCCACAGGTCAGTCTGACCTCAGAAATTCCTTAATTAGGATTCTCTTCTTGGATAATTCCAGACAGTTAATCAGGACACTGTCCTTCTAATTCAGGCAACAGTCTAAGGTTGCCAAGGGTATTTCAGTTCAAGGACCTGGACACATAGCAAACAACAAACACCCACCTCAGAATCCTGTTGTACCAGGTCAGGGATTTCTCACTACCAAACACTGAAGATAAAGCCCAGAGTGAGTGCCTTCTCTATTCTCAGCTCCTCATTATCCTTGAATCTATACTGAGTACCTTGAAAATAATCTTTTTATTCAGTTTTAGTTTGTAGAGATTGTTGACTTTCACTTTCAGCTCTTTGAAAGCTAATGTCCAGAAGAAATCAATCTCTGATTCTCCATTTTAATAGATCTAACTCCATGGTTCATTCAAAACACCACAAAAGCTGTTATGTGTAGCAATGCTCTTATGGATGGAGATAATAGATCGAGCCAGGCCAATTAGATAGATAATAGACTGATGTGGCCGAAAGACTGACCTTACCCTCAGCACTCTACTTCAGAAACCAAGAACGCTGTTCCAGACTGCAATGGAACATGCTGAGGTAGATGCATCAGAGAGTCCATCTGCTCTGCACAAAGGATCTTGAATCCATTCCCCAGTGAAGCCACTGACAATCACATTCTGGGTGGCTGTTTACATTCTTACCCTAGCAGCCTTTCCAGCCTCTGCTTTTCTCTGGCAGTGACTAGCTTGCCTATCTATGGCCAGCTCCTGCCTAGAATTTCTATGTTAGTCTTTGAATACTGATTGTTCCTCCAGGCTCATGCAGGACTTAATCCCAAGGCTCATGTTCAAAGTATTAAGAATATGAAAACTTAACTTGATAATGACATTCAGAGGTAGAGTCCTGTAAAGTGATTAGATTTGATGTAGTTATTAGCATGAGTGAATCCTTTAGACCTTATGAAGAAGACCACACAAATGAGCGCTATATGCATACTTCCTCCATGATTATGATACAGGCAAAGGGGCACCCTCACCAAAGTCTGTGTCATGCTGTGTGGACTTTGAGCTTTCAAAACTGTAAGCCAAACAAACCTCTTTTAAAAGGATTTTGCCTCATATTTTGTTATGTCAACAAAAACCAGATGAATTCATTCTCTAAGTTGCCACTCTCACCCTATGTGTCCTGCTGGGACTCGGGCTCAGGGCAGCAGAGAGAAGGCTGCAGGGATAGAAGAGAAAGCACAGTTTTAAGGAAGATCAGAAGTCTGGCACAGGTGAGCTGGTGAGGCTGGCTCCAGAACACCCAGACATGTTCCTGTCTCCAAACAGTGCTGATCACTGCTTTCCTGTTAGGCTTCAGCCCCTTGGTAAATCTCTTATTTTAAGATTAGTGAAGCTATAAATATTTATAGCGTTGTCTAAAAACCAGAAAGATGGGGTCTGGAGAGATAGCTTAGTTGATAAAATGCTTGCCTTGTAAACATGAGAACCTGGGTTGGATCCTAACACCCACGTAAAAAGCCAGGTGTCATAGTGTCCTGAAATCTCAATGCAGGGGGAGTGGAAATGAGTAGACCCCTGGGGTTCACTAGACAGCCTGCCTGACCTACTTGTTGAATGTTGGGCCAGTAAGAGACCCTGCCTCAAAAACCAAGGTGAGTTGCCAGAAGAATGACAGTCAGACTTCTTCCTTGGCCTCCACATGCACACACACACACACACACACACACACACACACACACCATTCAAGCCGATTCCTGGGGGCGGGTTACAGGTGCCTCACTCCTCACTCTACACATTCAGGACCCTGACAAGGCTCTAAGAAGATGGGTCAAGGATAGTCTCCTAGGAGATGAGCATACTCCATATCTCAGGTTGGACAACTGTTTATTCTCCTAGACT